GTGTGAGACAGCTCTCTGGTCCTCTTAACACCTCCACCTTTACCTTTCCGAAGGATCCTAAATGCTGTGAGACTAGAAGTTTATTTGTGCTCTGAGGTTCTCAAGCACTTTCACTCTTTAGGGGAAAAAAAAAAAGTCTCACAGTTATTTAAGAAATTGAGCCTGAACCATCCGAAGATAGGAGATTTCTTCCTTTTCCGATAAATGCCTGTGCTCAGCATCCTCAAATTTGGCTGTCTTTATTTACTTCTATATTAGTTCCAATTATGTGCAGTGTAAACCAGCTTTTTGATTAACAAAACAGCAGAGCATTGGTTAAGAACACTTAAACTTCAAAAAAATTCCCCTGGGAAGTGGGCTCTGAATTGGTTAATAATGTGCAGTACTTGCTAAATTGCTGACTTCCAGATGTGGAAAATATCTTTCTTGTTTAGGACCTATGTAACCTGATTGGATTACGACAGAAGCGTCACGTTGGAAGCTTTTGAGTGATTATTTAATTAACCATACAGTAGAAAGCTGTATTCTCCAGGAAATCCCTTCCATATTTGCATAACCAATCCCTTCAGAGCAAAGGTGGAGTCTTTTCTTTTTAATTTTACTTTAATTGTAATATCAAAAAATATATACTCCAAAACTTAGACCCCATGCCGTTTAATATCATGTTCTCCCTTCCCTGCTAAGTTTCTCTATGGCCTTTCTCTTTTCTCCTCCTGCCTCCCTACACATTCTCCCTTACTTTGTAGTGAGGTGTCCCCGAGGTGTAGAGAGATTCAGAGATCGGCCAACCGAGTGTTCTACGTTAATTTACTTAGAAACCCTTTATTAAAATGCCAAACTACTTTTTAATATTGGGATCCAGACCAGAAATTCATCATGCACACACCCTAACACACATGCCCTAAGATGCAGCTCTCATGAAGCATTTTTTTTTTTTTTTCTGGCTCTGGTACCTAAAAAGAAAAAAATAATAATAAGGGAAAGGGCAGTGAATTTTGTTCCAGAAGCTGTACTGAGATAGCTACACAATTTGATGTGCATCTCAAATCTGGTCATTAGAGATATCTGTATAAGAAGAGATGATCTGGATTGAGGACCCGGGATCTTTCCCTTTAACTTTCGCCCCTTGGAGTTCTCCAGTTCTGTGAATGGTGTGCACCGTTTTCCGCCCTGTACTCTGTAGGATTTAGTGATGAGGATAATGATGCCAAAGGCTTGACGGGCGGGGG